AACAAAGGCTTTTGTACAAAGTATTAGATAAATTTCAGTAAGTATGTTCAATACTTTTTTCCTGTGCCATTCCACATTATTACAAATAACTTTATTTCTGGACATTTATGATTTGATTTCTTTGTATGTTTGGATCACTTGGGTTGTTACCGACATCTGGTGAAAATTTCATGTCATTAGCACCTCTAGTAATATATTTACTGAGAAAAATGGTGATGTGTTTAATACTTATTTTACCCGCTGTATAAAAATAGACAGCAAAGATAAGCAGCCTTCATCAAACCATTCTAACCATCCTCCCCTGTAGTGATCCTGTCTAAAAACCATCCTTCAGAATTGCAAGCTCTTTATAAATAGCAGCACTAAGCTCCACACATTCTTTATTAATTCTTTTTGAAAGCACCAAATTCCACAACAGCTGGTCTCCTTTGAAACCAGAGACATGATCACTGATGAAGAACATCAGAGTGGATCTGTTAAGCATTTGAACAGACCCCCCCATGAAAGAATGTGAAGAATTGCAAAAAAAATAGAAGACATCCAACTGTTAAGGCTTTATCCTTGTCTGAACTTCGCTCCATGCGTCTGGTGTGATCCAGATGTTCGATGCCGCAGCGATGCGAGAGGCTTCCTGCTGAGGAAGGTCCTGACTCTGTGGGTTAGTTTGTTTGTGTGAGGGAAGCGTTCTCGGTGGTAAATCCTGACCCCCCCCCCCCCACCCCCCCGGGTGTAAATGACTGAGCTGATGAGAAGTGCGCCACGTGGTTGTGTGTTTCACAGCAGATAGCGCTAACCATTCTGTGGCTGCTGGTTAACCAGACTTCCACCCAGCTGCTTTTTTTTTATGCGTCTTTTCTTTTTATAACGTCTCTATTGGCATATTCTTTTTCAGGAACTGGTGGTGACGGGGGCCCCAGGCTCATACTACTGGACCGGGACAGTCAAGGTGTACAATCTGACGTCTGACACCTTCTACAGCCCAAACAAAAACGATCTCGACACCCACAGATACAGCTACCTTGGTGAGAGCTGTCGAGAATGTGATGCTGAAGGACTATTTTAATGTTGGATAAACACGCACCGAAAATGAGGCTCAAGTCGGTGTGTGTGTGTGTGTGTGTGTGTGTGTGTGTGTGTGTGTGTGTGTGTGTGTGTGTGTGTGTGTGTG